GTTTATATAAGTTGACATAGAGGGTGGTGAGGAATAGTGTGAGAGACATGGTCGAGTTTAGAGAGGAAGGGAGAGTTTGAAAATTTATTTTTATTTTTATTACAATACTGAATATTGAGGAGGAGGGGGTAAGGATCAGACATTTACCTATTTAATCAGTCAACTCATATATATATATATATATATATATTGATAATGTTAGTGTCAATATATATATATATATATATATATATATATATATATATATATATATATATATACATATATATATATATATAAATATATATATACATATATATATATATATATATATATATATATATATATATAAGCATGCAAAAAACACACACACATATATATATAATATATATAATTATATATATATATATATATATATATATATATATATATATATGTGTGTGTGTGTGTGTTTGTGTGTGTGTGTGTGTGTGTAATGAATTTAGGTATGGAATCCCGACAGAGTTATAAGTTATCGGATATCATTTTCATAACATACTTTCATGAATGTTTCTACAAATGTCAATAACTTATAAATCTATGGCGATTTACATACCCAAATTTATTACCCGCTGTAAGCATAGAGAACGCACGGATAAAAACAATTCTTTCATCTATTATCTACTCATCTGAAGGATTTTCCATCACAAAACTCGGACACTTAAGTGGGAGGATATAAAATGTTAAACGATTTTTTTAAAAAGTCACTCATTTTCTTTCTCTTTTTAGTCTCAAGCAGCGTCATCTTGTGAAAAATAATAAAAGATTGAATTATGTTAAGCACATACAAATGCAGACATACACAAATCATTATTCGTTATCCATGTAATGTAACCATGGAGGCGAAATGCATTATCGGATATCATGTTCGTAACATAATTTTGTGAATGTTTCCGCAAATGTAAATAGCTGACATATCTATCTATCTATCTATCTATCTATCTATCTATCTATATATATATATATATATATATATATATATATATATATATATATATATATATAAAAGACAGACCACGTTAAGATTCCATGTAATAAGCTATTTCACCATAACCCCTTTAACAGGGTTCTGGATCTATATATATATATATAGATCCAGAACCCTGTTAAAGGGTTATGGTGAAATAGCTCCATGGAATCTTAACGTGGTCTGTCTTTTATTCAAACATATCTGCTCTGAATTTCATATTGAGTTCTCTGGATATCATCCTCCTCGGATCTACCCATACGGATTACCTAAGTTTGTTTAAACTAAGTATATATATATATATATATATATATATATATATATATATATACATACATGCACATATATATATATATGCCATTCCCATGAACATTCAACTCACAGATATATATATATATATATATATATATATATATATATATATATATATATATTAAGAAGAGAGAAATACAAACGTTTTTTGGTTGTAATGTAGATTTCAAAAAAAATATTATGTTTTATTTTCCATAATTTTTTGCTACACGTGTTTCCGGTCTCGCGACCGTCATCAGGCAAAGGGTGGAGATTTCCACATATTATTAAAAATAATTAATTTTTTTTCTTTCTGTTTTTCGATGTTAAATATTCTCGATATGAGACAATCTCTTTTTTGTGTTAGTCATTCAAACGTCTTTCTTGAACTGGCAGTGAAGAGTTCTCTGTGAAGCGTTATAAAACAATTAAGATTGGTTCGAGAAATGATGGAGTAGTTATCGGCATGTTTATCTTTGAATGACCCCAGTGTGTTCTTAGATCTATTTCCATTTTCGTGTGCTTTTGTCAGCATGCGTGTATATATGTGTATATCCCCTCTCCATACATACACACCGTCTCACTACGAGGAATCAGTGAACACATCTCTACACACACATACACATACATACACACATACATACTTACATAAACATACTTTCCAAGTTACATGGAATCAGTATAAATACACACACACATACATACACACATATATATGTACACACATTAACACATACTTCCTAACTTGTGTTGTGAGTGCCTGTGAGTAGTTCTCTTGCTTTTGTTAATATGTGTATAAATATTTCTGGTCAATATATATATATATATATATATATATATATATATATATATATATATATATATATATATATATATATATATTGCATTGAATTTATTTACGAATTTAAATGCGCATTACGTAATTATAATCCTGATCAATTAAAATTCGTAAATGATTATATGGATCACACTCCATGTTTGACACGCAGACTCACTCTACACCTTTCTGACCATAGCCCAATTAGAACTCATTTAAATATTCATGGAGACCTACCTGACACTATTCGTAACATACTTGTTGACAACACTAATATAATAGCATCATCTACATGCAAAAATGACTAAATATAATGGAAGCCTTATTAATAAAAAACACCTTTGAACATGGACACAATATTTTGACCGTGTTTTGAAAAATGAAAACATTTTATTAAACATATATACAACAAACTATTTCTTATTTAAAAGTTAAAATATTTAATCCTTGAAAATGGCTAAATGTATAGCCGAAAGCGCTCGTATAAAAAGAACATTTGGACAGGTTTTATATAATTTATCATCTGAAATGAAAAAAATCATTAGATCACATGAGAAATTGTATAAAAACTAAATAAAATCACCTTGTCTGTCGTATTCAATGGAAATTTATATATATATATATATATATATATATATATATATATATATATATATATATATATATATATATATATATTTCAAGAGGATTGAATCCAGGTAAATCACAATGTCCAGGACAGAATAAAAATATAAACACTAATATTCCATGGTTATAATTTATTACATTGGAATTGGAATCACAATCAATTCATCAGACCGACAAATTCAAAAAAGAAATTGGAAAATATTCCCTCCCACACATACACTCTCACTAAAATGTTTTTTATATCCGGAGTTATATTTTCCAATTTCGTTTTGAATTTGTAGGTCTGATGAATTGGATTGTGATTACAATTGCAATGTAATAAATTACACCCATGGAATATTAGTGTTTCAGTCTTATATATATATATATATATAACTATACTCGTTTCACTAGGTGTATCTATATATATATATATATATTGAACAATAAAAAATAATACAAAAATATTAAAAAAATAATAAAAAATATTAAAAAAATAAAATCTTCAGACACACTGGGTTGTAGATTAATATTCTTTCGTTTTTATTATTATTATTTCATTTAGATTCCTCAACTAGTTTCGGCCAAAATGGCCATCATCAGGAGAAGAAATATTTCTGCTTGTTAATAGAAGTGAACTACAGAAATGAATGTCTTGATGGAGAAAATGAACTTTTGTCTGTAGTTTTCATTTGTTCGAATCTTTTAACATTCCTTGTGTTGGTCAAACAGTCTCTTTAATTTTTTTATTTGAGATAAGAGGTGGATGGTTCCCTGCTGCTCTGAATTCCCCATATATATGTATGATGTAACAGCAAAATTGTCCAACTCGAGTGACAGCATGGAATAATTATTCATACGAAAATTTGATTAATATAAAAAAAAATCCACTAAATTAATTGGGTTCCTTTTTTCTAGGTTTTCAGGTAAGATTGAGTTATCCCGCCAGGAAGAGAGCAAGCTAAAATTGTTCTGTGTCAGCATCACTATGTCTTCCCAAGTGAGCAATGATGAGAGGAAAAGCATCATTCAAACCTTCATTAAGGATATCATCAGGAAACTGGATCTGGAAGACACAACAGGAAGAGGGATCAACTTAGGGCCAAAGAGATCAATTGTAAAAGATCCAACTCAATTCATAAGACGTTTGGCATGTGAGAGATGAGTTTCGGCTATGACAGTCCAAAGAGCAGCGGAAAAAGACTTGAAAATGAAATCGTATAGGAAACCTGTGAGGCATCTTGTTACTCCAAGAGAGAAAGTTAGAAGGTTAGAAAGGTTGAAGATCATCTTGAATAAGTTGGAAAAATGATCCTGGAATAAAATATATATATATATATATATATATATATATATATATATATCAATCCTTCATGAGTCTCGAACCTTAGCTATGATTAATTAATTGTGGAAATATCATTTTACTTTATGTTCGATTTCATCACGATTATTCTGGAGAATAATTATACGTTCTTATTACTCAAAGTAGGGCCCAATAATGTTCTAAAGCACCTCGAAGAATTCCAGTAAGATATCTTTGAACATTTCTAAGATACAATGGTTCAAAATTAATCTAATAATTGGACAATTTTGCTGTTACACACGGTATATATATATATATATATATATATATATATATATACACATAATATATATATATATATATATATATATATATACATAATATATATATATATATATATATATATATACATATATATATATTATGTCTGTATGTGTGTGTGTGTATATATATATATATATATATATATATATATATATATATATATATATATACATATATATATATATATATATATATATATATACATATATATGTGTGTGTGTGTGTATATATATATATATATATATATATATATATATATATATATATATATATATATATATCTACGTATGTGAATATACATATGGATTAAGAGAAAACTAAAACAGACTTTATACCTTGATAAAGTTGGCAAAGAAAAATTTTCCTTTTTTGTCTTCATTCATATTGTCCTTTTTTTGCACACACACCCGCGCTCGCGCACACACACATACCCACACATATATGTATGTGGGTGAATATTTTATCTCGAGTCATAAGAAATTTCCGGTTTGGAAAATTGATGTAATGGCAAATATATCATCCTTATTGCTAAAGAAACTGTTTAATTATGATATCAGTTTAGCTTTGATTCATTATTAGTTCAAACCCCAAATTCACAAATATTGATAAATAAAATGAGAACCGATTAAAAAATTGCACCATTTTTATTCTTTTCCGAATTCATGGCGGTGAACTTACCGAACACGAACAGATAGATAGATAGATAGATAGATAGATAGATAGATAGATATGAACAGATTGAGATAGATCGATAAATAGATAAATAGAGAGTGAATAGACTGTGATAGATAGATAGATAGATAGTGAATAAACTCAGATAGATAGATAGATAGATAGATAGATAGATAGATAGATAGATAGATCGTGAATAGACTCAGATAGATAGATAGAAAGTGAATGGACTCAAATAGATAGATAGTGAATAATCTCTGATATATATATATACATATATATAGAGATAGATAGATAGATAGATAGATAACGGAAAAATGAATGATAGATTTGAACTGAGATAACGCTGAGAAGACCAACACAGAGATTGATAGATCGATCGATCGAAAGATAGATAAATAAGGTGTGGTTTTTTAAATTGGTTACAACATTAAACGCTATTTTTTTAACAACCGACAGATCGATGGTCGACTATTCATCGATCCTTTTAATCTCTTAATTATTCTAATCTCAGAGCGATCAATATTTCCACATTTTCCTCATACTTATCTAAATTTAATCTTCAAACTTCAAAATTCTACAACCATGTCATTACTTCAGAATAGGAGTCTCTTTGCCTTACAAAACACGCAGAGACACACATAGAAACATATTGAGAAATGAATTCACACGAACCGCATCCAGAAGAGACATTTTCTTACACACATATTCGTGTACTTCTTGAAATATCAAGTTGCTTCTTTTGAATTATCGCAAAGTACCCAATTCTTATGATCTTAGGCCTGACTTAAAACTTAATAATTATTTAAGCGTCTATCGAAGAGCAATGGCTAGTACATTTGCTAAAACAGCTTCGTCAGATGCGGATACAGATTCCGCTTTCGCAGTCCCGTGCCAAAGTTCTGGCACCAGGTAACGATCATCATGCAAACAGTTGGGGAATGAATCGCATTATACTCCTAAAGTGGCTGGATGTATTTATTCAAACAGGTGGCGTAGCGGTTATCAACGCCAAAAATAGAACGACGTGCCGAATTCAAATTCCGCTGCGTTTTGTCTAAATGCCTTCACTTTCACGCAAATGGGGATAAAAGCGAGGCCCGTATCTTCTCAACACTACCTCCAGCTGTAGTTTAAATAGCAGGGTAGAGTGGGATCTCTAGCTTTGATTGGCAACAGCTCTAAGAGAATAAAAACTTTGAATTTTAAACTGTATAGAAGTCAAAAGAAAACCTCTCGACTATTTTTCCCAAGAAGTCACTGCAATTCGAAAATAATAAAAAAAAATAAACCTGACTTCTTTATAAAATATGGCATTTCAAAAAATAAAGAAATAAATAAAAATACTAAGATACAATTATAATGGTAATTCTAACATTAGCCGTTTCCTAATAAGGAAACATTCCGGATTCATTGACGAATTTGCTAGTGCTGCTTTTGGTTGAAATTTATAAAATATTTCTCTAAAAGCAATTTTTTGACGAAGCGAGATTTCTCAATCCAGCAACTGTTATCGCTCTTACCAATACTGATGTGGACGTCCTTCCATACAAAGTGTTATAGAACGTCAACATCTTGATCATGTCACAATTTCCCCTTCTAGTTAAATATGCTATACATTTTAGTTGTTGCTGTTGTTGGAAGTTTTCTAGTGATGTGATTTCTGTTATATTGTGAAGTTCTTTGGGATTCAGTAGCACCAGTTTCGCTAAGACGTGCAGGTTTCATTTGCTAAGAACTACCTTTAACTATTGATTAAAGGAAGAGATCGTCATCGAACCTCAGTACTAATATATATATATATATATATATATATATATATATATATATATAACCTTCTAACATTCTGTCTTGGAGTAACAAGTTTCCTTACAGATTTCATGTATTTTCATATCATTTTCCTTTTTTCACTGCTCTTTGGACTGTCGTCTCTCACGTGCCACTTGTCATATGCATTGAGTTGGATCTTTTCTAATTGAACTCTTTAGCTCTCAGTTGAAATGACGATCCCTCTTCCTGTTGTGTCCTCCTGATTGAGTTTTCCTCTCTACTGTTCCCTCTTTTTTAAACTTATTCATCGTTTTCTTCATGGAAGAGTGAATGGAATTTGGTGATAGAAGTCAGGGTATGAATGTTGGTACCATTACTGAAAGCCTGAATGATCTTTTTTCCTCTCACAATTGCTCATTTGGGAAGACATAATCGATTTTAACCGATTTTTTTCTAGCAGAAAAAAATGAAAAGGAATTTAAGTGATTCATACGACAAATGGATCAAGATGGCTGAACGTATTTTCCGAAAACCCGGAAGAAAGAAACTCAATCAGTTTATTTTATTTTTTATTTTACATATTAAACATTTTGGGGGATGGACAATTATGCTGTTACACGATTTGGACAATTTTGTTGTTACACCCGGTATATATATTACTCTACATACCCTAGCCCAAACACTGAAGAGGTGCACCAGCGGGTGTTATATTATCATGCTATTTAAAATGTAGCGTGAAACCGCTTCTGGACCCGCATATCTTACCACAAATTAGACATTTCAATTGCTGGACGTCTACGGCTTTATAGTCAGTTGCCACCCTCCGTCGGTGCGAACTCAGATGACTCCTTAGACCAGCCATCGACAATTACACTCAACTACAATCTGTACACTGCGGGAAGGTAGTTCAACAAGGACGCCTTTACGCACATCTCTTTTAAGCCTTGCGTGCCTCCTCTTCTCCTCAAAGTGGCACCTTCTACTCCGAGCAGCTTCATTCCAATTATTGCAATCAGATGCACATTCTTACCAGTGTTCACGAGGAATGTTGCATTCCTTCAGGGTGTGACGGCGACGCCTGGTCCAGGGTCGAATCCTTTGGTTACGGCGCCAACTGTGACGTCGCTCCTCCTGGTCGCTCTTCGCTGTTCCAAGTGTGCCGTTCTAACCCCTTGGTTAGATGATTACCAGCCTCGCCTTTCCCAACCCGCTTCCAACACCTGGTTACTAGAGTAACTGTACTGATCTCCGGTCTGTCTACCCACGTTGTGATTAGATCTTAGACAGACGGGACCAACAGGGATTGGGGCCGTATGCAAGTTGAGTCCGACGGGGGTGGCAAAACACAAGTAAAAGAAAAAAACTCACGAGACAAAAATTTACTGATAAAAAAGGGTAACAACCTTTTATATCTAATGTTCGTTACATAAAAATTGTTCTTACTCCCCGACCCGCTTTTGTGGACTGTGGCACCAAGCTTCTATCATACAACTTAAAGATTTCGAGTTATCTACTCCTTAGAATTGTGTATGTCGGAGTGTGGTCTAGTTCGACACTGGGGCTAATCTCCACCAGTCGTTCACAGCTGATTTTTCTCTTCGGCTTGAGTTGGACGTATTTCTTCACTTCGATCTAGTTTGGTCGAGTTTCTGTTCTTGGGCTTGGCTTGATTTCAACTTCTTCTTCTTCCGTCCTGCAACTCTTTTCTGTCGACTGAGGTGGAACTGATTTGCTTGTTTGGCCTGCAACTTTACTGCCTGTCTGAGGTGGACCCTTCTCGCTGCCGTCCAGGGAACTCAACTCTCTGTCGTCCGAGGTGATCTCTTCTCGCTGCCGCCCGGGGCTGAACTCATTTGCTTGTCTGGCCTGCAGCTCTTCTTCTTATCTTCGACTTGACTGCAACTTCTCTGCGGCTTTCGAGCAATCTTCTTCTTCTTCTTCGACTTGGGCTGGAAGGATTTCTTGTCTTAGGATTCTCTTGCCGCAAAGGGGCGAATGAACCGGGCCCGACGCCCGCGTTCCAACTGCTCTGGCCGTCTACCCCGCAACTCAGCCGCAACTGATTTCTGTCGACTGGGGTCCTGCTTTTATTGACGCCGCAACAAACCGGGGTGGGTTTGTCGGCGTCAGGGCCCTCTCAACAATTCCAATAGTCGCATTATTTCTGATTTCCCATTATCGCTATTATTTTCACCCCTACTTCCTCACAGTGCCTCTGGTGGGGAGGCGCATACCCATCTCTCCCGGTCTCTCGTATGTCAGGTGACCGTTTTCGACCAATGGTTCTTGATCGAGCGTTCTTTCTCCTCTTTCCCGCATATCACGTGACCGCTTTCGGCTAATGAGACTCTGGTTGGGCGTCTCCGTACATATGTGACGTCTCCAATCGGGCGTGGCTTATCCCGTCCTTGTTCTGGGAAGTATCAGCTTGCTAAAAAAAACAAAATCCAATTTGGTCCATTTCGCACGCACGAAAAACGACAATTTTGGCCTTTCTCACCTGGGTTCTGTCAAAACAGCCCGCCGCTAATTAGATGTGACTTCAGGAAGAATTCTTTCCGACTTGTTGGCGTCCTCTGTGAGCCAAGAGCAATTGTCTTTTTTACCTCTTTGTTTCTGCCCAGACCTGATAGTCAAAAATCTTAATTATCTGAATTGAAAATGTCTTCGCTTCATCATCGTGGGAGTTCCGATCTTTAACAGGTCAGAATCTGTATACAATTCCAGCGGTCACCTTCTCATCCCAAAAGACACCTTTCCCCCGATTAATATTTCGTTTCCATTGTTCTAAAAAAATCCCATTTCTCCAAATTGATAATGAGTCTTCTACGCAAAAGTAGGCCATATGCTCCGACCGACATTTTTATCAATCACCTATATGTTCATACACTTTTACCAAGCCTGTTTTCTTTCTCTCTTTTAATGACTTTTCATTCTAAATAACAATTCCCATTGTCCTCCGAAATTCGGTCAAACACGCCGGCCCAGATACCTTTCTGACACCTGTTTTCGCTAATGACCGGCCTTTTGCATTACTCGACCTCTTTTCTTTCTTTTTTTCCTCTCTCTCTTTTTTTCTTTTTTTTTTTCTTTCCTTAGGATCGTCTAAGTACAATTTAGAGAATTATTTTCGAAACTCAATTATTCTTCGTCTAAAAAAAACTAACAACTGGTTAATAAACCGAGTAAAAAAATTAAATCATATTTCTATGAATATTTCTTTTTTTCTAATAATGCAAGGTGCCACAAAGGCATCCTTGATGCAGTCCTTAAAGCGTATCTTAACTTTCACGGCATTTCTCTTCCCTGTTCGTAGCTCACCATAAAACAATTGCTTTGAAATACGGCTGTCATCCATTCTGACGAGGTGGTCCGCGCATTGACGATTTACTATCAAGCACTCAATACTATCTCAGCCGCTCTTCTCTAGCACGTCTGCATCACTAACAAACATTTGCCGGGTAATGCCAAGGATGCTACGTAAGCAGCACCGGTAGAATAGCTCAAGCCTTTTCATTTGTCTGCGGTAAATCACCGACGTCTCGCAAGCATAAAGAAGTGCTGTAAGCATATATGCACGATAGACCTTTAGCTTTATACTCACTAAAATTCCGTGTTGAGACCACAGAAGTTTATTCAGTTTTCCAAATGCGTCGCTAGCTTTATGTATGCGGTTTGAAATCTTTACATCAAGATCACAGAACATGTTCAAAGTGCTCCCAAGATACAAAAACAGGCAAACAGCCTTCAACCTTTCACCATAGACAAAGATGCTTGGTTCACGATATAGCTTCCTTGGAGCTGGTTAGTACATAACTACTGTCTTTTTCAAACTATTAGTTGATCCCAATGCAGTGCATGCATTAGAAAAAGCATCCATGAGATGCTGCATATCTCCTTCGGAGCGAGCCACAAGATCTCAGTCATCAGCATATAACAAATCCCTGATCAACGACAAGTGAACCTTCGACTTTGCATCAAATCTCCTGATGCTAAACAGCCTTCCTGTTGAACGATAGGGAATGTAAATACTAAGATTGCAGTTCTTAAAAGCCTGCTCAAAAACGATAGAGAAGTACAGGGCAAATAGGGTTGGAGCCCGAATGTTACCCTGCTTCGAGTCCATTTTCAACTGTCACCGGCTCAGAGAGCTTTCCACTAACATTAACCCATGCCTTCATCTCATCATGAAACAAGTGAAGAATGAAACAAAATTTTTGGGACATCCCGGCTCCTTAAAATATTCCACAAAGCCTTCATGTTTACGGTGTCAAATGCTTTTGTTATGTCAACAAATACCAGGTAGATATCCATATTCTGTTCTACACACTTTTCTTGTAGCTGTCTTCTGCCATGTTCAGCCCTAAATCTTGACTGTGATTGTGGAAGAGCCTTGCCGACAACAGTGATATGCCACAATCATCTCGGTCCCCCTTGCCTTTGTACAAAACGACCATGGCAGAATCTTCCAAGTCATCCGGAACACTGTTGTTACTCCAGGCATCCTGCAACAACGAACAAAGCCGATCAAAAGAAAGCGTATGTAAATAAAACAGTGAACATGGATGTCAGCACTTAGAGGCGACAGTCTGTTTCATATTAAACGCAAACATCAGGCCACCTTCGCGTGGACTGATGATTGCGTAAAGCATGAAACAGTCTATCATCTCTGAGCATTGACATCATTGTTCACACACACGCACGCACACACACACACACACACACACATACTTGATATAGAACACTTTATCTCATAAATATAGCATAACTTTCATCTATCATCATCATACTTATCATCATCCCCTTGACATGTATTCGTAGGGCGGATCCGAATTCAGAAGCCATAATAAATCTCCTCCACAGCGGTCTATGAACGGCAGACATCAGCAATTCTGGTATAGTCAAATTTGTATCCTATATATATATATATATATATATATATATATATATATATATATATATTTGTATCCTATATATATATATATATATATATATATATATATATATATGTGTGTGTGTGTGTGTGTGTGTGTGTGTGTGTGTGTGTAAAAAAGGCTAAAATGCCAATTAACCTCGCAACCTGGGTTTTGACCGTAAGGTTCCCTCAGGCAAGCGGAAGGACGTATAAGCCAAAGAAAACTACTCCAATATACGAGAACACCGGAAGTGAGAGGGTAAAAACATGAGGATGGGGGAAGGTGAGAGAGAAAAAATTGTAAGTGAGAAAAAGTGGGAGGGGGAAAATTAATGAATTATTTTATTTCGCTCATCCTGGTTCATAGGTACCTAAAATGTTTACTTAAATGCCTGCACCCTGATATAATCTCAGTTCTTTCATTTAGTAAGACACCTTTATCAGGATATGTTGCAGTGGCGAATTTCTCTTCCTGGCACAGCCGGCAACAACAATAAGCAATAATTCTATCGGTTTTTACCCTCCTTACTATGCTCTACTTTACACCTCTCTATGATTATGCCACACTTCTCTCTGTATTTCGAGACAGAATCGGCAACTTTACATATTTTACCGTTACTATACATATATATATATATATATATATATATATATATATATATATATATATATAAGGATTAATGTATATTATTTTTAATCCGACATAATATATATATATAGTAACGGTAAAATAATCCAAGCAGGTTCTAATAATGTAAGAAATATTAAAATGAGGTCTCTTTTTTGTGGATCTATTTTTATATTACACATGAAGTAAAATGAATTTTTTTGTGATTATTCATTTTATATATATATATATATATATATATATATATATATATACATATAAAAATTATTTGTTTCTCTCATGTGTTCGAACGTTACAGACTTATCTACAGGTTAATGTTATTAGATTTCATATTATCGTCAATATTAGCATTATCCTTATCAAAATTATTAATATCGTTGGCTCTAATTAATTTCTTGAAAAAAATAAAGCGTAGATTTTGCCGTGATTCTAAAAGCGTTGCACGTGACCTGATAAGCGATTTGATGCCAGTCATTCATTTAACAACCATTTCCAATAACTGGTCACGGACGAAGAAGATTAGGTTAAAGAAAGAGGGGCAAACATTAAAAAGTAAGGAAAGAAGAAAGAAGACCAAATAAAGAAAAGAGAAAGTAACAATGAAATACAAGAAATGAAGCAACCAAACGATATCTTTTTTCTTTTTTTTTCATACAAGCGAAACCAAATAAAACTATAATTATTTAATGAATAAATGAAATGAGCGGGAATTCTTGAATAAAACCAAATAAAAAAAATGATTTCAAGGAACGAATGCTTGAATCAAATGTCAGGCGCTGAAAAACAGCATTTAAATCGAGAATAAATGAAAAAAAAGAAAATATATGATGGTGTGTTTGCTGAAGGCTTTAGAAGTAACTGAAAGCCGGCGAAAAAATGATTTAAAATCATAACTAGTTATTACAGGAGAAATATATTAATTCTCTTCTTGTCATTAGTTTTCTTTCTTCCTTCTTAAAAAAATATGAATGGTAGGGAGTGAATATTTAAATAATAGAAAATGAAAATGAATACCAAGGAAAGAAAGGAATAAAGAATGTTGAAAAAGAAAGAATAAAGAAAACAAGTAAAAGAATTAAAGAAGCAGTGATAAGTTAGGTACAAAAGAAGAAATAAATAAAGATTGAAAGAGAGAGGTAAAGAAAAAAAAAGAGAGAAAGAAAATGGACAAAAGAAAGAATAATTAGAGAGGTAAAGAAAAAAGAGAGAAAAATAGAAAAAGAAAGAAAAATTAGAGCGGTAAAGAAAAAAAGAGAAAGAAAATAGAAGAAAGAAAGACAAATTAGAGAATTTAGAAAGACAAATTAGAGAGGTAAAGAAAAAGAGAGAAAGAAAATAGAAAAGGAAAATTAGAGCGGTAAAGAAAAAAAGAGAAAACTAAAATAGAAAAAGAAAGAAAAATTAGAGAGGTAAAGAAAAAAAGAGAGAAAAAATAGAAAAAGAAAGAAAAATTATAGAGGTAAAGAAAAAAGAGAGAAAGAAAATAGAAGAAAGAAAGAAAAATTAGAGAGGTAAAGAAAAAACAAGAAAATGGAAAAAAAAGAAAATTTAGAGAGCTAAAGAAAACGGGAGAAAGAAAATATAAAAAATAAAGAAAATTCCACAATAAAAGAAAAAAATGACAAAAAGGAAGCCTGCAACGTAAAAGAACGAAGGGCAACGGAAAAAGCCGATTACAAAAAGAAGCAATAAAATGGAAAAAAAAAAAAAAAAGAAACAATATGAAAAAAGAATGAAATAAGAAAAAGGATGATGTAAAGGGAGCAGGAAAGAAAAAATTAATAATGTATGATATTTACAAAAGTTGCAAAAAAAAAAATCTTTGTTCCGATGAACGAAAGAATTCTCAAGCCAAAAGAATAATGAAGGATATAAAAGAGAAAAATTCAAAATGAATGACGATGAAGAAAAGACAAAGAGAAAAAACAAGTGTCAAAAAAAAAAAAAAAAAAAAATTGAAGAAAGAAAGAATAATCAGTAACAGGAATCATAAAGAAAGAAAAGTAAAAGGTTATAAAAGAAAGAAAGAGGCAGGTTAGCGTGGCTTCATGGTTAACAAACTTGTAGTAGTGAGTTTAATTCTAACAAGGTTCTCCACACGTTCGGCCTTGTTCCACATCTAAGGCTTAGTAAATCGCTCTAAATGATGGAAAGGGAGAAAGATCCAAAATTAATTATATAGAAAAAGAAGGAAAGCATTAAAAAAGGAGCGATGAAGGAAAGAAAAACATAAAGAAAATTATAGAAGTAAACGATGTAAAAAAGAAAAGGAAATAAAGAAAGAAACGCTAAAGTAAACGCGAAGGAAGAAATAAGAAAAAATGTAATGGTAAAGCAAAAGAAGAAAAAATGTTCTCACGAACGAAGAAAAGAAAAAAACTAATAATGAAAGCGAAAGAAAAATGAAAAAAGAGAGTCGACGAAGGAAAATGGAAAAAGAAAAAAAAAACAATTATCTGAGAAAGATCATAAAAAATCACGAAAAACATAAAGAAAGAAAAATACAAATAATCATGAATGAGAGAAAGAAAGATTTAAAAAGTAATAGCGAAAGAAAGAACGAGTGATAAAGAAAAATAAAGAAAATCGAAGAAAGAAAGAAAGAAAGAAAGAAAGGAAGGAAGGAAGGAAAGAAGGAAGGAGAAAGAAAGGAAGATAGGATAGAAGGAAGAAAGAAGTGAAGAAATCTTTAATTTGCCATTCTTTTTCTTTTGGTGCTGCTGGCCATCCTCCTGAAATGAATGAAGATCAATTTTCGATTAACTGATGCAAAAGAGTTTTTGCAATATGGTTGTTGATATCTGATTCGCCGCAAGGCTCACCGGAAGCCAATAGTCGCCATTTTGAATCGGAAGAATGCCAAACGCCTCATCGATTAAGTTTAATTAAATTATCGATTATTCTTCATTCCCCCTTCAATTTAAGCAACAAAATGATTGAAGAACTAACTGATAATTTGGGGTGTAGCATTTTATGATAGAATGTTACACATTCTAATACGATAGCTGTCTAAAAAGTAAGGTACAAGGACACGATAGGCTACCCAACACTTAGGATCATTACACGGTAATAAAAGATGTTCGTAAAATAAGATACACCACACATTTATTAATTCAACATATTTATTACTAAATAAATAAAATACAGTGCATATGTTAGCAGCATATAGTATTATATTTCTACAACTGGCCGCTATCGAGATTGGAGCCTTTATCCTATCGCTAAACGAAGGCATGTCTACAGGTCTCGAAGAAGTTTGCGTCAAGCGACTGTTGCACTTCTGCAGCAACAGCATAATCTGTGTAGAAACGTTTTTGAAATCAGTCATCTTGGGATATTAACTTTTATGGCGGCTTTTCCCAACCAGTCCGCTCGGTCGCACTAACGCTCCCTGAAGTGTAACCAGATGCGCCCCAAGTTAACAGAAGTTTAATTTATAAATTGTTTTTATATTAACCCCCCCCAAACCCTCATTTTTAAAAAGCTAGATACACCAAACACGTGGCTCCCATGTCTCAGTCAAGACTTTTCCATTTGATAATTTTATCTAGGTGCTAAATTTCTTAATCTTTAAGAAAGAGTGGATAGTCCTTTCCCATTATCAGCATCTCTAAAAAGAATAGATTAATCATAAATCTTTTTCAATTAAAACTGTACCGCTAATTTTCTTTGGGAATGCTAATATTTCATATTTTCAAATATCATGACTAATTTTTCCTTATTAAAATTTAAAGGTACCCCAGAGATTTAGTTATTCGTCAAGTGCGTCATGAAGTCAAAAAAAGGTTATAGTAACGCCGTATCCCAAAATAAATGCTGTGCATTTCAGAAACCTTTTTCAGGAGAAAGAATTATTAATTTGAAAGAAGTACAAAACTCTAATCTCCCTCAAAATGAGATTTACTGACGTCAATGCTCCAACCATTTCGTGAAGGCCCACCGAAGTTATCCAAAGTGAAGATGTCCAGGACCCTTGTCAAAGCGTCGTTCATCTTCTCAACGTCTTCAAAAAGGACTGTCCCTGAAGTTCTCCCTCAGCATGAGAAACAATCGAAAGTCACAGGTAGCAAGCTCTGGACTGTAGGGGCGATGAGGGACAGTTCTGATGTCCATTTCTACCAGCACAAATCTTTATTGCATAGTGAGCTTTCAAATGGTTTACGCGTCCCGACTTTATTCTGCAAGACAGTCAATTGTGACAAGCATTATTAATAGGGTATGTTCAAAAAGCTGCTCCAACCGACTCCTTCAATCTGAAGTAAGAGAAGATGGCAAGTCAACTTATTAGATATATAGGAATGATATACTAAAATTAGAATAGTCTAGAAAAGCTATAACTGCCTCTGCTAAAAATGTCTCGGGTCTTCTGAAATGCCCTTCGTATCAACATCCAACCTAGACTAATGTTTATCATTCCTAAGCCATAGTTGATCATTTATCCGTGGTATCTTTGCCGTTGAAGCAGAACCCCTGCATGTCTTTTGAATATCCTGCTTCATTAATATACGTCACTTCTCATAGGGGATTTCATTCTTGGCATTCTCGCATGTCCAGTATGGAATTGCATTAAAATTCATTTTTGTGAAGAAACAGGAATTACTACTCTTTCCGTATACATAAGTACTTCATCACAGACAAAAAATAATAATTATATTTATTAACACCTTATTTATTTTTTCATTATTTTCATCTCACTTTTACGTGAATCATAATTTTCAAAATATAGTCATCCTTCTTGGATTGTATTTTAATTTCGTCCAAAGTCACGGCTAGTTTCTTTATTAAGTTACACAAAACACTTTTTTTTAATCTTATTTTCATTTATTAAAGAAGCAATCACCGTCTCTTCAAAAGGTTTCTTAAATTTTGGGATCAATTTTGATAAACCATTTGCATACAACAATTTCTTTTATGGTAAATACTCCACCTTAAAATAATAGTTCAGTAAAACTGTTCCCCAACGTTCATGAATCATTTTGTGAAATGTTTTCACTTCAAAAATAATAACTAGTGCTTCTTTTTCAATTTGACTATAATTCTTTCCACCTTTATTAGCGTTCTAGATTCATGGGCAATGTTTTTTATTTTATTTTAGCATCCTTGAATTTATGACAAATAAATGCTCCTGTGCTATAATCACTAGCATCTAATGCTACGATTATTTCTAAATCAGAATTGAATTGCGTTAACCATAATTCAGATGCTAAAATATTCTTTATATCTTCAAAAGATTTTTGACAATCATGGAACCAATTACACACTGCACTTTTTTTAAAAATAATTTATTTAAAGGCGCTCTCAATTCATGCATGTTTGGCACGTAAAGATAGTAATACCTCGCTGGCATTAGGAATTATTGTAAAGTAATGCTTGTTGGGCAGGCATATTTTTAGTAGAGCCTGTCTTTGATGGGTTTTGTCTACGTCCATTTCCTTCAATTATTTGTAATTTATATTGATCCTTAAAAATTTTCATATCTCCTCACTGAGTTTGAACATGTAATCCTTTATTCTCTCGAATACTTGTTGTATGTCTTCTGGATGTTACCGTCTAGTTTCATTTAAAATCCAAGGCAACTAGCTCTGTATCAATTATTTGCTGGAAAATGCCAGGTGCGACTTTGACCCCAAATGCTAGCCTATCAAAACAGTATAGACACGTGTGTGTTAATTATTAAAAACTTTCTACATTTTTCATCAACTTCAACTTGTAAACATCTGCGTCTGATAGGTCGATATATGAAAAAAAAAATTCCATCATTTAATTTAGAAAAACTACTTGGGATGGTAACAGATATATGTGAAGTAGTAGTAGTAGTAGTATTAGTAGTAGTAGTAGTAGTAGAGATAACTTTTTACCTGTAGAAAAATCTGCACATACAGGAATATTATTATTTTTCTTTTTTTCATACACTGTTGGAGTTGCTGACTTTGAATAATCTGTAGGCGAAATAACTCCCAGAGTTTCTAATGGGTTCTACAATTGTAAAAGGTACACTACGTTTAGGTTTAAAAACAGGAACGTTTTAAGAAAAAAAAATCGTCTTTGACTCATGTATATTTTTCAAAACTCTCGGCAGTAAAATGTAGTAAAATTCTTTTTTAAATCCTTTAAAAAAAGACTTTCTGTCATAATATTTGTTTTAGAGAAGGAGCAGTTAACTTTCTTAGGAACGAATTTATGGGGGAATTGCGTGATTTTTTGAGTCTAGTATAAGTTCACTTGATGAGAATTTTGGATTTCTTTGTTTATGGATTGTTAAAATACGTTAAGTTTTTTTATTTTCTATTATCAGTGAAAGTTTTAGAACGTATTTTCTGTTTCTCTTGCTTTGTCTTTTTGTTTTACTTGTTTTTGCATAAACCAATTTTTCTTTTCTTTTTTTTTTTGCCTTACCTCCCCACCCCATAATTTTAATTTGTTTCTAGTTTAATTCCTTTTTTCACGAGCGGAAATTAATAACTCGCATGCCAAGTAGCATTCCCACTTCACCTACTAGCTAGCTACCTATATAAAATGCTAGTAAGTGGGCAGATCTCTTCTAGATTGTCCCACGTTCTACTGGTCAGGCTATTCGGACCACAGACTTGTTTGTGCTCGGGTGGCGTTAGACCTCACGCCACGAATGGCTTGATACTGGAAGTTCAGTCTGTCATTACTGGACTGGCGGGACTTCCAGAAACAGCTTACTCAGTGAAACAGGAACTAGTGGGGTGGTTATTGGGAATACATGGTGGGAGAGGCTTAAGGATAGGATAGGTCCTTCACCACTGAGTATCGCCAGCGGTTCGCTCTAGATAAGGCTAACAAGGTGAGGGCTCTTAAGGATCGTCTTTCCCGGTTGGAGACTGAGGGGATCCCCTAGAGATAGCCCTAGCTAGGGAATCCCTGCAGCATTTGGGAAGAAAGCGCTACCAGGGTCAGGCAATTAGGCATAAGTTAAGCAAGATGTCTTCCGAAGCTGTGAACATAGGTTACAATTGTGCAAAGAAGACACTCTTCGAGATTCCGGTCGGTATATTCGAGAGGTCAAGACCCAGGGGTCGGGGCCGTATGCAGTTTCTTTTTTTTCCCATGTCTGTATTAATTTTATCCACCCCCTTAGCGAGAGAGCCACTTGATTTTGTCTGAAGACAGAATACAGCGGCCTTTCTTATTTCTTTGGAGGTTGGACAGTCCTACTAACATCAGTTACCTTTAGTTTATGTGTTTTGTTATATTTTAGTTTACTTCCGGTTTCATCTCCATCACCATCGATAAATTTTCATACAGTGTAACCCGGATATAAGAGAAACCCGGATATAAGAGACTTCTTCTCCGGTCCCGACAACTCTCTTATATCCGGGTTACACTGTACCTAACTTTATACTGAAGAATTTTTATGTCATGCGATGTTTTGTAGGCTTCTTGTGTGTATGCGGTATTGTGACATATGTTTTGAATCATGGCGGACTAGTTTCTATCGTGGATGTGCAAATTGTAATGAATGAATGGGTCGTGAATCTGATTAGCCTCAATCCACCCCCCCTTTAGGTCTTGTGCCACAATTGTTGTATCTTATACACAATAAATATTGAACGATTTTTGAGCATGGTGAGCGAAAGTTCGTTACCTCTGTTGCGAATGGGAAGTCGGAAGTTTTTACCCCGTTTTCGATATAAATTTGCCTGCTGGACTCTTTACGACCACTTTGCCTTCTCGACTTTTTGAACACGGATTTGCAATTGAACTTACCCAATCCTCCCTTTTAGGTCTTGTGTCACAATTATATACAATAAATATCGAACAAATCTACGGGTACAGTCCACAAATCAAACAGTTCCATCCAATCCACGCCTAATAAGTTCAATGTATATATTTTTAATACGAATGACTTAGTTTTAAGGTTTTACCGACCCCCCGAGACATTACATGTAATTTCACCTCGAAAACATTTTTTTCCACTGAAATGGCACGTGCAACTATTTTTGCTTTCATTAATCAAGCTTTACCAATATTTTCCATGTTTTTTCATTAATTCTAGTAATGTCGCTGTCTGTGTCCATTTGAAGATGTACTTCAACCTTATTCATCTTAACCTACACAAATCTTCTGTTGTGGTCCTTATTCAGATTTTGAGTTCTCAATACAACTTTTACTGTAACAAAATGTTTTACATTTTTTCTTTCCTTTGATTTACAATGTCCTTCTATGACCCAGTCTTCCACAATAGAAATATTTTATTTTTGAACAGGAAATCTGCCATGAAATGATGTACTTAACATGGGTTCGCTGCAGTCACCATTTTATTTCTTT